TGTTTGCAAAAAGTCATTACAAAGAATCAAACGCCGAAGTGTGTCAGTATTTTTCCCGCAATCCAACTAAGAGAGGGCGTCAGTAGCTCAAAATTCGTTTTCACCCCAACTTTCATATTTTGTAGCCCAAAATGTCTTAACAATTGTGGTGCAACATTTTTTGTGAAAATATATTTCAGTTTTCGAGAAATGACTTTTCTCGTTCGATCGCTAAAATATGCAAATTTTTACCGTAAATATTACCCGTATTCGTGTCATGAATATACTTGACCTCTAGTATTTCTGCCAACATAATCCTTTCTTTTATCATCTAAACTTAATCCCATGTCATTGCTGAAGCTGGCAAAGGAACATTTATCTTTTGGTAAATACTTTTGTACGACATACTTTTCCCATGTCGAAAAGTAGCATAACAGAATCTACTGAGCTTCTAGCTTTTAAAAGACAAAAGGATGGTTATAAAGTCACTGTAAATATTTAATTGTGTATTTGTGTTGTTCCATGTTGAGACGAACTCAAAGTCCGGCAAAATTTACTTGCCAGCGACTATGAAATATACATGGTGTGCCTAATTGTCGCCACCGTTTACTGTCATAAATTACTACAGTAACATTATAACCATCCTTTTGTCTTTTAAAAGCTTGAAGCTCAGTAGATTCTGCTTTTTCTTAATAACTCGACGGCATGTTACATTTACTATTATAATTTTTACCTGTTTTGCTTTTGTTTTAAATGGCTTGTTCAGGTATAAACTTTAATTTATTGAAGAAAAATCGCCGATGCAAAGTCATTCACAACGAGATTCAGAGAAAGTTTTTGTTACAACATTTTTGTTTGGGGCTACTTTCATATTCCATTTTACATCATATCTTACACTTTTCTGTTCATAAAACTTTCTTTACATTTATGAACGAAAGAATCCTCTCTATAAAAACAAAGCAATTTATCTGGTTCAATGTTGTACACATTTCTCATTTTCTGAATATTCCAGCCACCCCTCAGAAACTTTAAAAAAATTATACATCCAAAAGGCTTGGAAAAAGGACACAATGAAAACAAACCTAATTTAAGCCCTCGAAAATGAGAGATATCAGCCCGGAGGAAAACCTTTTTCCCCATTTCCCGGTTTTGTTTCCCGTCACAAGCATTATCGGAATTATTATTTGTGACTCTACGATTTCAGGGAATAAGGTGAACGCACGCACACGGCACGTTATAACACGCTCCCGCGCCAATAGCATAACACGCTTACCGTGCAGATGTGCACATAAAAACAATTGATTCTGGAAAGCGCGTTGGTAGCCATTTGTCATATCTGGCCAGCGCGGTAGAGCTTTGAATCTATAACTCGCTAGATTTCTTTTTTTTTTAACCCGCTAAGTTCCTTTGTTTCCTCAACACGCTACCTTATCTTTTATAACCTAGCTCAATTTGTCACTTGTGTTTGTCAAGTATGTTACTGACAGAATATAAGCGAAAATGAAGATCTCCTGTCCTATTCAAAAGTTGTAATAAAAAAGGAAACACTCACGACAAATCACTTTCCCTCAGGATTTTCACGAGGAATTCAGTGAGCACGACGTGTTTCACAAGGTCTAGAGGAGCTCAGTTTGAACACATGAATTACTGTTTTAAAAGTTAATCCTTACCGCGTAAAATATAAATCCTTACCGCTTTACGCAGTAAATAAGCCCTATCAATCCTTTAGCAACAGATTACCGGTTCTATGTCCCCTTAACGACGCTATTGCTGTTTGTCACTCTATGCAAGTCGGCATTTTTAAAATAATTAACCACTAGTTAGCCAGCGCAAAACGAGGCTTTCCGAGCGAAGCCGCGTATTATTCATTATTATATACATACCGAGATTTACGCGCCAAAATTCATCGAGACAATAGTTTCTTCGCGCTAGAGACGCCAGCTGATTGGTCATACGATTATCATTATTTTCACTAGTGAAAAAAAAAGTGTCGCTTGCTCGCCCCTCCTCTTGACCGACAAATTGCACATTCTAAGAGCTTAGGTGCATTTTTTTTAAGAAAGATGGCTTCGATAAGACTAACCGTTTTCAGAGCCTAGATTTATCAAAACAAGAGTTCATAGATGGACAGAAAATGAAAACACTGAGAAAAAGACTAAACAATATGTTCCTCTGTCCCATGAATTTCTCGTTTTGAAAGGCAAGATGAGGCAAATGAACGAATGACCCCTCAAGCGCTGAACAAGTTTTGTTCCTTCTAACGGTTCGCAAAAAAGAAGACAACATGGAATACGAGCCTAGTTCCTTAAGAGCATTCTTCGCTAGTTTTTAGCGCCATTTGAAGAAAAAAAAACTACGCACTTTGCCTTATGAAAGACGAAAAACACCAAAAAAAAAATCGATGTTGCTCGGTTCCATGAATTTCTTGTTTTGAAAGGCAAGACGAGACGAATGGACAAATGACCCCTCAAGCGCTGAACAATTTTCTCAGCGAGTTCCTTATAACGGTTCGCAAAAAAGAACACAACGAGGAATACAAGCCTAATTCCCTAAGGACTTCCTTCGCCAGTTTTCAACGCTATTCGAAGAAAAAATAAACTATGGACTTTGCCTTATGAAAAACGTCCAGTTCGAGCAAACTCGGAAAGCGCTTCAATCAAAGCAAAGGGATCTAAAACGGAAAGGCATGGGTAACAAGCCTAATGCTTCTGCTGCTTTAAGTGAGGAAGATATTCAAGTTCTGTTTGAGAAGGATCTCTTGGGAAGTTCCACGGCGGAAGCGCTTTTAAACACGGTATTGTTCAACAACATAATCCATTTCGGGTTACTAGGCTGCAAGGAGCACAGACAAATGTGTTGGGGAGACGTACAACTTTGTCGAAACTTCCACAGGGCAGGAGTACCTCGAATTCAATGAAAGAGAAACCAAAACTCGTTCAAGAAACGATCCACGGAATGTAAGAGCCATTGCACTGAAAATGTTTGCTGTGCCGAACAACCCGAAATGTCCAGTAAATGCTTACAAAGTCTACGCAGAAAGCGACCCGTGGAAATGAAAACTGACGATGCACCGTTTTACTTTGGCAGTATATAATGTAAAATCTTGAAACAACGACGTGCTGCCAACTGATATTATGCAACTGTCAGGACGCAAAAACGTTCAAAGTATCACTCGGTACTCTACCGTCTCACAGAAACAACAGTTGAATATGAGTCCCACTCTCACTGGAATGAGTTCGGGAGAAATAGCTCCCCAGTCTGGCCCTTTTATTCCGGAGAAAAGAAAGCATGAGTTTGACGAACTCACTTATCCAACATTTCGTCCGACTTTTTCTCAGCAAAGCAAGCAAGCAGCACAGCAGACCCTTTCTCTTTTTTGGGGTGCTATTATAAGCGAAGGACATATAGGTGTGGCAATAAACACTTTAAATCAATCGCCCACACTTTCAGTTTGAGAGGAAAACCCTAGCAGAACTTATAAAAGAATCAAACCTCTTGATTCGGATTCTTACTTGTGTTTGTCGATTCAAGCATGCGGGTTCTGATAAGCAACAAAAATAAAGTCTCGGGTTTCTCGACATATTTTCAGGATGCCTTATTTTATTCTAACTAGCTCTGCCTTTTAACGGCATTTTTGCTCGATAATTTAAATGTAAAGTATTTTACAAGGAAGCCATTTCAGTGCAACTCTCGAACTGTGAGGCGGCTTGACCTTTGAAAGAAAATAAAGATGTGTTTATCTTTGAGTTCTGTTCGCTTATGAATCCAGGTAGGTATATGATAAATAGGTTATTTCACGGTTATTTCACTTGTACGAATTTTATTCACTCCTTGTCAATAAAAATCGTACGCGCTCACCAACCGTGAAACAACCAACAATTGTACGCCGATCTTGGCATCTTACGAGCTCTTCGTCTTAAGCACTGCGGTCTATACCTTGCGCAACGCAAATTTAACGCGAGGATAATTAAAATTAACATGGTCGAAGGTACTAACGAGTCTTTTTTAGCTTGCAAACTCAGCGAACTTAAAATTTCAAAATCCTCTGGACCCTGTGCGTGTATTCACTTGCTTTTGGTTTCCATAGCTAGGTCATTTACACTACATGTTTACACGTGCAAAAGGAATAAGCAAACGCTTCGTAGTTGTTCATTATCAAGTTTGAAAATGCATTTACAAATTCTTAAAGTTCTCATACTTTCTAACCGGTGGAAAAGATTTAAAATCCCTGGCGGAAGATTATTTTTGGCGCCAGACCAGTAGAAGAGGAAGATGATCAACTGGAGGACTGCGGTTCTGACAGCAGCGATGAACCTAATCAGGAAATTGACTCAGATGATCACTTTGACTTGTCAAATTGTAATACATTGGAGCGATAGAAAGTGCAGGCATTTGCAGCCAAAACATGTGGATGTGCACTTGGAGATAACGGAGATCCATGCAGCCCTACTATCAAAATTGAAGTCATCTTCGATTGCCGAAACAACCTTGCGGAACTTTCCTCGACTGAACTCAATCTGGTAATTTTGGCAATGATCCACTGTGCCATAAACTGTGACCAGGTCAGCGACTCCGGAGGAGCAGAGACAATGAGGCAGCGAACCAGGATTCCTTTCCATTTTCACAGCCACCGAGTCTGCCTGAAAACTTTTCTTTTCATGCATCGTCTCCACAAGACCGGATTCTACAGTTGCGTTAAACATTATCGGATTAGGGGATTATACATACGTACATATACTTAATGTATGCTCGAAATTCACAGTGTAGCTGTAGAGCTATTATCTTCGAGAAAATAAGCTAAAATAAAATTTAAAAAATATGCTATATTACAATTCCAATATTACTTATAAACTATGTACAACGACTATCGCTTCGTACTCACGGCAACAAGTTTTGACGTCTACCTAGCGCTGCTTTCAGCGCTGAAACTATTCAACGGGTGGTAAAGATCTTCATGAACCTTGCCGAAGACCAATTTTTTTTTTTACTTGAGGAAATGTTCCTGGCTTCAAAAGAACTGACATGAAACTGCTGCCAACCTCCATGACAAGATCTCGTCTTTGGAAAAGCTACCAAGGTGCGTAGAGACTAGCAAGGCGAGCGTTCAGTGTCACATAAGTACTCCACAATCTAAGGCTAATGCATCATTACAAAACGACCACTACGACGTGACTACCGAGCTCCGAAAGCAGATATTGAACCTGACAGAAGTAGTTAAGCAGTTGACGGAACGGAGGTGTCTCCATCACCATGAGCCGGGGCCTGCTTCTTTGCCGTTACTAGATGATGATTCGGACTTCCCAACATTGGATTCCGAAGCAGTCGCATCTCTTGTGAGTTTTAATGGCAGCCCCACTGTCCAGACTTACCAAGAAACAGCCACATCCAGTAAAGAACCTACTGAGTCTTAGCGTTCCGTCCTGCGTACACTTCGTCAAATCCGCTAAGAAAGCCTGTCGCCCGTGTTTCCTGCCCAGATTGTTCCAACGAGATCACCTCTGCAGCCTGTTGACTAGAGCTTCACCCATTAGTGTCACGCAGCCACCGTCCAACGGATGCGCAGCAAAACAAAGTAAATACAATTGTACCGAAGGGAACTGATGTCTACTGCCGCCCTTGCTTTTGTTGATGTTCTCTTTACGGACGACGAGATGGCAAGGTACAACACGTCAGGAACTGAGGATTTCACCGGTTGGACAGCGGTGTCCGTTTTACAAAGAAATTTGACCCGCGATTTTTTAGTGAACAATGGAATCAGATAGCCGCTCGCATTAATACGAAATGTTGAGGAGAGAGGAGGACTCTTATTCATAGACTTAAGAAAACTAGTTTGTTTTGAAAACACAAAGATGGCACAATTAGTCTATCATTTCCCACAAAAAATTATGAATAGGTGAATTGAACAGAATTAGCCATTGTTCAAAAAAACTGCTTTCTAAGTTATTTTAAATTCGGCTAATTTTAGCATATAAACTTTACTTATTATGGGGAGCCTAAAGAAGGCATAAAACGCAGACTAGAAAATCATCCATCTGCCCAGAATAATGCATTTACAGACAGGTTAGGTGGCGACAGTCAAAGGAATAAGGTTTGGCAAATAGACTGTCAGTTACTAAAAAAAAAAGTATATTAGATATTTAATAATTTTATTCTCTCTTTCTGTTTTTACAGTAATCTTATAACCATGCTTTTGTCTTTTAAATCTGGAAGCTCAGTAGATTCTGTCATATCGGTCATTGTTAAAACTGTCTTTGTTTTGATGCTACTATTCGACATGGAAAAAGTTTGTCGGACAAAAGTAGTCACCAAAACCTAAATATTTCTTTGCCAGCTTCAGTAATGACAAGGGATTAAGTTTAGATGATAAAAGAAAGGATTATGTTGACAGAAATACCGGAGGTCAAGTAAATTCGTCACACAACTCGGGTAATATTCACGGTGTAAATTTGCATATTTGCAATATTTTTATTTGCATATTTTAAAAAATTCAAACTAAAAAAATTATTTCTCGAAAACTAAAACATATTTTCACAAAAAAACATACACCAAAACTATTAGGACATATTGGGCTACCAAACATGAAAGTAGGAGTGAAATCAACTTTTGGTGACTTGCCGCTGTTTGTCTGATGCACCTTGACACTAGCTCTTAATTTTCTTTAAATTGAGCTGCCAAGTTCAAGCGGTTACCGGTTACCTCGCCACCAGGGAGACTCGCCACCAGCGAACTCACCACCAAGGAACGATCTCGCCACCAACGTACTCGCCACCAAGCGAAGTCTTCTCGCCACCAACCACCAATAAAGAGATAAACTAGAATAAAGTAGTCGAGGAGAGTAGGATGTTCGAACGAGCACAATTCAAATCGGCCGATACGTTTGTGCGCTTGCCTGTATTTAAATTATGACCTTCAGCGACGTGGTAGATGTGTTCCGTTCCTAACTCATTGACATCAAAACGTATCGTGTTTGTCTTTTGCACGTAAGCGAGGAGAAATTGCAAAATTCGATGCGAGGAATACAAACTTACTTCGGTTTCGAACGTGTTATCGACAACATACAATTTATAAAGTTTGAGTACAGACAAGCGAACAAACTTATCGGTTTCGAACGTGCTTTCGACAACATACGTTTATAAAGTTTGAGTACAGACAAGCGAACAAACTTATCAGCCGAACATCCTACTCTCCTCGACTAATCTCTTTATTGGTGGTTGGTGGCGAGAAGACTTCGCTTGGTGGCGAGTACGTTGGTGGCGAGATCGTTCCTTGGTGGCGAGTTCGCTGGTGGCGAGTCTGCTTGGTGGCGAGGTAACTGGATACCGTTCAAGCACCGAAAAATTTGCAAACCAGTTGCGTTTCGAGGCTGTCGATAGAATATCTGCGGCAAAAAATAAAAAAAAAGGCCAACATCGTTTTTTTCCTTCACTGTTCTAGCAACGTTCGGACCAAATCTCGCAGATTCCGTCAATTCTATATTTGAACAGCAGAGAGCTTTTTCTGTGTTTATATATCATCATCTAAACACTAAGAAAAGCTGGGAGGATTAAAGAAAGGTATGCAAACGTTAGACACAATTAAGGCTTTGCATAGCTTTAGAAAGTATCAAAAAAAATTATTGCCTATTCATGTTACTTGTTTATTTTCTGTAACGAACTTATCCAAGATTTAGAATCAGGCGCGAGTGGACGAACTCCCTTCTCCTGGCATGGAAGATGTAACCCTCCAGTGACTACCTAACCTTCCTCCCCGCCCCTTCCTTCCACCTTAATGCTCGGAGGCTAATTAGTCTTAGAACTAATGGCCTGAGTGGATACATCATAAATTTTGTCTGATTGATGACTAAAAAGCCTAGCCTTAGCTATTGATATTTTTTAAAACAATAATACACTTTGTGACTTTGGTGAATATGTTTGATCCTTGCATTGTTGTAACTGTTACAATTATCCTTCTAAGTCTTTCGTTTTCCCTGCTCATCGTCCCTGTACATTGCCCGCATGATTAAAATTAGAGAGAAGAGTCTTCACTTTTGACTTACAGCTCTGTTAATTCGATATTGTTCATAAATATGTCTTTTGGCAAATTCTCCAACTGGTTGTTATCCAAGTACCTGTCAACAAATGACGATAGTTAGTGTTCAGGCGCATTACTGATATAAACGTATTATCATTATCATCAATATCTTCAAGTGACAAGAAATGTTTTTGGTAAGAGCCCATGTTGCTCATAGTACAGCAAAGTATTTATATTTTCAGGTAAATCTGTCAACTCCATTATTAAGTTTCGCATATCAGGCGCGACTGTCTTCCAAGACATCCATCCATAAGTAACACATTCGTCAATCTATTATTTTCCACAGAAAAGATTTCAATGTCGGCATGGGAAACAACATGATATTCGAGTTTCTTAAATGGGTTTTTCCTTACCATTATAAAATGAGGGGAAAATACAAACAATAGTTTATGCAAAGAGCATTTGAAATAGCTTAGACAATTTTCGTAATTTTGCCCTTTTTGTGATTGAACTCGAAAATGTCAATCACAAGTTCCCTGTGATGTATGTAGCGAACAATTTTTCCTGAACCGAGCGATTTGATAAGATTTCCTTGTTCAAGTGTTGGTTCAGCCTTACCAAAAGCGGTAGTCCATAAAAAAGAAGCCAGATCGAAAAGCTGCGAACAGACAGGCCCACTGATTTGGCTCAAATTTTGCATACAAACCTGGTTAGGGGTTTTGATCGTGAAAGAGATATTTTAGGATTGAAATCTATTTTTATAAAAAATTACGGCTCAAGGCTATTTGGAGACCCTCATGAACATGGAAACGAGGCTGGTTAAGAGAAACTTTTCAATGCCTGGGCTTCCTTTGCTTTCTCATTTTTGTGTCTTCTTTATTATTATCATTATTATTTCTATCATAAAACAAGTGTGAAATTCTTCCTCTTTGGTTTGAATATTAAATTTTTATTCATAATAACTAGAATAAGAGAGAGAAGTATGTAAATTCAAAAATATATTGTGATTTCAGTTTAATTTTTTTAGCAGAGCGAGTTCATTTTCGAAAATTACAAACAACATCGCACGAAAAGCGGACTTAACTATATATCTAATTTACTTATTTTTGACGCTTGTGTTCGGCACTTTGAAGCTTCTTAATGCTTGTTGATACCATAAAACAGCATTTAGAAGAGAAAATTCTCAATCCCATCCGCAGAAAGTTGACTCTTCGTCCTAAGCGACCTATTGTTTTCTTTATCACTCAGTATTGAAATGAAAAACACGGTATGGTTCAACAACACAACCCATTTTGGTATACTAGGCTGCAAGAAGCACAGAGAAATGTGTTCAAGGAGAGACGTAAAACTTTGTCAAAACTTCCACAGGGCAGGAGTACCTCGAATTCAATGAAAGAGAAACCAAAACTCGTTCAGGAAGCGATCCACAGAATGTAAGAGCCATTGCACCGAACATTTTTGCCATGCCGAACAACCAGAAATGTCCAGTAAAGGCCTACAAAGTCTACGCAAAAAACGACCCGCGGAAACGAAAACCGACGATGCACCGTTTTACTTTGGCGGTAAATAATGTAAAATCTTGAAACAACGACTTGCTGCCAATTGATATAATGCAACTGCCAGGACACAAAAACGTTCAAAGTATCACTAGCTACTCTACTGTCTCACAGAAACAACAGTTGAACATGTCTCACACTCTCACTGGAACGTTTGACTCGCCATTTTTTAGTGAGCAATGGAATCAGATGGCCGCTCGCATTAATACGAAATTTAGAGGAAAGAGGAGGACTCTTATTCACAGACTTCAGAAAACTAGTTTGTTTTTAAAACACAAAGATGGCACGATTAGTCTATCATTTCCCACAAAAAAATTATGGGTCGGTTAATTAAACAGAGTTAGCTATTGTTCAACAAAGCCGCGTTCTAAGTTATCCTAAATGTTGCTAATCTTAGCATATAAACTTTACTAATTATGTAGAGTGTAAATAAGGCATAAAACGCGGACTAGAAAATCATTTATCTGCCCAAAATAATGCATGTACAAACAGGTTAGGTGACGACAGTCAAAGGAATGAAGTTTGATAAATAGACTGTCAGTTAATAAAAAAAAGTTTATGAGATATTAAATTGTTTTGTTCACTCCTTCAGATAAAGGAAAAAAAGTGGCGTTCTCGTTGTGAGAGGGAATCGAACTCCACAAAGCCTATTAAGAGAGCGCAAGCGCTACCACTGCACCACACGCTTGCTTCTTTGCTTGATTTATCTCGTTGCTTTTAGCCCATGCTCTTACAAAATGCCTTGAATCCACAGCAAGAAAGAAAAGATTGCTATTTCTTTTGTCTTTGCTCAGTAACCGGGCTTTATGTCATCCGCAAGCGGAGGAGCTTGTTCCAGCTTCTGACAGTTGTCCATCAGCTGTTATTTCCTCTCGTAAGACGAAGGAGGCAAGTGCAATTAAATTCGTTTTCACTCCTACTTTCATAGTTTGTAGCCCAATATGTCCTGATAATTGTGGTGTAGTTTTTTTTTTTAAATATATTTTAGTTTTCGAGAAATGACTTTTCTCGTTCGATCGCTCAAATATGCAAATTTTCACCGTGAATATTACCCGAGTTGTGTGACCTCGTGTCATGAATTTACTTTACCTTCGGTATTTCTGTCAACATAATCCTTTGTTTTATCCTCAAAAATTAATCTTTTATCATTGCTGAAGCTGGAAAAGAAATATCTATTTTTTGGTGAATAATTTTGTCCGACATACTTTCACATGTCAAAAAGTAGCTCAAAACAAAGACAGTTTTAACAATGACCGACATGACAGAATCTACTTAGCTTATAGCTTTTAAAAGACAAAAGGATGGTTATAAAGTTACTGTAAATATTTACTTGTACATTTGTGTTGTTCCATCTTGAGACGAACTCAAAGTCCGGCAAAATTTACATGCTAGCGACCATGAAATACACGTGGTGTGCGTACTGGTCGCCACCGTTTACTGTCATAAATTACTAAAGTAACTTTATAACCGTCCTTTTGTCTTTTAAAAGCTTGAAGCTCAGTAGATTCTGTTTTTTCTTCATAACTCGACTGCATATTACATTTACTATTATTAATTTTTTTACTTTTTTGCTTTTGTTTTAAATGGCTTGTTCAGGTAATAAACTTAAATTTATTGAAAAAAAATCGCCGATGCAAAGTCATTCACAACGAGATTCAGAGAAACTTTTTGTTATAAAATTTTTGTTTGAGGCTACTTTCATATTCCATTTTACATCATATCTTACACTTTTCTGTTCATAAAACTTTCTTTACATTTATGAACGCAAGAATCCTCTCTCTAAAAACAAAGCAATTTATCTGGTTCAATGCTGTATACATTTCTCATCCCCTAAATATTCCAGCCACCCCTCAGAGACTTTAAAATATTCTACACCCAAAAGGCTTGGAAAAAGGACACAATGGAAACAAACCTAATTTAAGCGCTCGAAATAATGGATATCAGCACAGAGAAAAACCTTTTTCCCCATTGCCTGGTTTTGTTTCCTATCACAAATCATTATCGGAATTATTCGTTTGTGACCCTCTACGGATTTCAGGGAATAAGGTGAACGCACACACACGGCACGTTATAACACGCTCGCACGCCAATAGCATAACACACTTACCGTGCAGATATGCACCTAAAAATAATTGATTCTGGACAGCGTGTCGGTAGCCATTTTTCATATCTGGCCAGCGCGGTACAGCTTTGAATCTATAACTCGCTTGATTTTTTTTTTTTTAACACGCTAAGTTCCTTTGTTTCCTTAACACGCTAGCTTATCTTTTGCAACCCAGCTTAATTTGTCACTTGTGTTTGTCAAGTATGTTACTAACAGAATATAAGCGAAAATGAAGATCTCCTGTCCTATTCGAAAGTTGCAATAAAAAAGGAAACACTCACGACAAATCACTTTCCCTCAGGATTTTCAGGAGGAATTCAGTGAGCACGACGTGTTTCACAAGGTCCACAGGAGCTCAGTTTGAACACATGAATTACTGTTTTAAAAGTTAATCCTTACCGCGTAAAATATAAATCCTTATCACTTCACGCAGTTAATAAGCCCTATCAATCCTAGCAACGGATTACCGGCTTCATGTCCCCTTAACGACACGGTCGCTGTTTGTCACTCTATGCAATTCGGCAATTTTAAAATAAATAACCGCTAGTTAGCAGGCGCAAACCGAAGCTTTCCGAGCGAAGCCGCGTATTATTCATTATTACATACATACCGAGATTTACGCGCCAAAATTCATCGAGAAAAAAATAGTTTCTTCGCGCTAGAGACGCCAGCTGATTGGTCATACTATTATCATTATTTTCACTAATGAAAAAAACCGTGTCGCTTGCTCGCCGCTCCTCTTGACCGACAAATTGCACATTTCTAAGAGCTTAGGCGCACTTTTTTTTTTTTTTTTTAAGAAAGATGGCTTAAAATCAAATTAACAGTTTTCAGAGCCTAGATTTATCAGTAGAAGAGTTCATAGACGGACAGAAAATGAGAACACAAAGAAAAAGACTAAACAATATGTTACTCTGTTCCATGAATTTCTTGTTTTGAAAGGCAAGACGAGGCAAATGAACGAATGACCCCTCAAGCGCTGAACAAGTTTAGTTCCTTCTAACGGTTCGCAGTAAAGAAGACAACTAGGAATACGAGCCTAATTCCTTAAGGGCATTTTTCGCTAGCTTTTAGCGCCATTTGAAGAAAAAAAAAACTATGGACTTTGCCTTATGACGAAAAACACCCAAAAAAAAACCAAACAAAAAACACGACGTTGCTCTGTTCCATGAATTTCTTGTTTTGAAAGGCAAGACGAGACGAATGGACGAATGACCCCTCAAGCGCTGAACAAGTTTCTCAGCGAGTTCCTTATAACGATTCGCAGAAAAGAACACAACGAGGAATACGAGCCTAATTCCCTAAGGACTTTCTTCGCCAGTTTTCAGCGCCATTCCAAGAAAAATATAGCATGGATTTTGCCTTATGAAAAACGTCCAGTTCGAGCAAACTCGGAAAGCGCTTCAGTCAAGGCAAAGGGATCTAAAACGGAAAGGTATAGGCAACAAGCCTAGCCTAATGCTTCTGCTTTAAGTGAGGAAGATATTCAAGTTCTGTTTGAAAAGGATCTCTTGGGAAGTTCCACGGCAGAAGCGCTTTTAAACACGGTATGACTCAACAACATAATCCATTTTAAGTTACTAGGCTGCAAGGAGCATAGACAAATGTGTTCAAGGGGAGACGTAAAACTTTTTTCAAAACTTCCACAGGGCAGGAGTACCTCGAATTCAATGAAAGACAAACCAAAACTCGTTCAAGAAACAATCCACGGAATGTAAGAGCCATTGCACCGAAAATGTTTTCTGTGCCGAACAACCAGAAACGTCTAGTAAAAGCCTACAAAGTCTACGCAGAAAAGCGACCCGCGGAAATGGAAACCAACGATGCACCGTTTACTTTGACAGTACTCAATGTAAAATCTGGCAACAACGACGTACCGCCAACTGCTATTATGCAACTGTCAGGACACAAAAACGTTCAAAGTATCACTCGGTACTATACCGTCTCAGCAGCAGCAGCCCGTTTCTTTTTTTTTTCGGGTGCTGTTCTAAGCGGAGGACATATAGGTGTGGCAATAAACACTTTAAATCAATCGCCCACACTTTCAGTGTGAGAGGAAAACCCTAGCAAAACTTACAAAAGAATCAAACCTCTTGATTCGGATTCTTACTGGTGTTTGTCAATTCAAGCATGCAGGTCCTCATAAGCAACAAAAAATGAAGTCTCGGGTTTTTCGACATATTTTCAGGATATCTTATTTCATTCTTACTAGCTCTGCCTTTTAACGGCATTTTTGCTCGATAATTTAAATGTAAAGTATTTTACAAGGAAGCCAATTCAGTGCAACTCTCGAACTGTGAGGGCTTGACCGCGCGTTGTTTTCCTTTGAAAGAAAATAAAGATATGTTTATCTTTGAGTTCTGTTCGCTTATAAATCCAGGAACGTATATGATAAATAAGTTTTTTCACGGTTGGTTCACTTGTGCGAATTTTATTCACTCGTTGTGAATAAAAATCGTACGCGCTCACTAGCCGTGAAACAACTTACAATTGTACGCTAATCTTGGCATCTTACGAGCTCTTCGTCTTTAGCACTGCGGTATATACCTTGCGCAACGCAAATTTAACGTGAGGATAATTAAAATTAACATGGTCGAAGGTACTAACGAGTCTTTTTTAGCTCGCAAACTCAGCGAACTTAAATTTTCAAACTCCTCTAGACCCTGTGCGTGTATTCACTTGCTTTTGGTTTCCATAGTTAGGTCATTTACACTACAACATGTTTACACGCGCAAAGGAACAAGCAAACGTTTCGTAGTCGTTCATTATCAAGTTTCAAAATGCAATTACTCATTCTTACGAGATGGTAAGGTGCAACACGTCGAAAACTAACGGTTTCCACCGGTTGGACAGCGGAAAATTAGGCTTTCTTGTGCCCGTTTTACAAAAAAAGTTTGACTCGCCATTTTTTAGTGAGCAATGGAATCAGATAGCCGCTCGCATTAATTCAAAATGTAGAGGAAAGAGAAGGACTCTTATTCACAGACTTGAGAAAACTTGTTTTGAAAACACAAAGATGGCACAATTAGTCTATCATTTCACACAAAAAATTATGGGTCAGTAAATTGAACAGAGGTAGCCATTGTTCAACAAAACTGCCTAAGTTATTTTAAATGTGGCTAATCTTAGCATATAAACTTTACTAATTATGGGGAGCCTAAAGAGGGCATAAAACGGAGACTAGAAAATCATCTATCTGCCCAGAATAATGCATTAACAAACAGGTTGGGTGACGACAGTCAAAGAAATAGGAATAAAAGGAATAAAGTTTGGTAAATAGACTGTCAGTTAATTAAAAAAAGTATATTAGATATTTAATGATTTTGTTCACTCCTTCAGTTTTTACAGTAACTTTATAACCATGCTTTTGTGTTTTAAATCTGGAAGCTCAGTAGATTCTGTCATATCGATCATTGTTAAAACTGTCTTTGTTTTGATGCTACTTTTCGACATGGGAAAAGTATGTCGGACAAAAATATTCACCAAAACCTAATTAATTCTTTTCCAGCTTCAGTAATGACAGAGGATTAAGTTTAGATGATAAAACAAAGGATTATGTTGACAGAAATACCGAAGGTCAAGTAAATTCGTTACATGAGGTCACACAACTCGGGTAATATTCATAGTGAAAATCTGGGTATTTGAGCGGTCAAACTAAAAAAATTATTTCTCGAAAACTAAAACATATTTCCACAAAAAAACCTACACCACAATCATTAGGACATATTGGGCTACCAAACATGAAAGTAGGAGTGAAAGCAAATTTTGGGTGACCTGCCGCTGTTTGTCTGATGCACGTTGACATTAGCTCTTAATTTTCTTTAAATTGAGCTGCCGAGTTTAAGCACCGAAACATTTGCAAACCAGATGCGTTCCGAGGCTGTCGATAGAATATTTGCGGCGAAAAAGAAAAAAAAAGGCCGACATCGTTTTTTTTTTCCTTCACTGTTCTAGCAACGTTCGGACCAAATCTCGCGGATTCCGTTAATTCTATATTTAAACGGCAGAGAGCTTTTTCTGTGTTTATATATTTTCATCTAAACACGAAGGGAGGCTGGGAGAATTCAAGAAAGTTATACAAACGTAAGACACAATTAAGAGTTTGCATAGCTTTAGAAAGTGTCAAAAAAATTATTGCCTATTCATGTTATTAGTTTATTTTCTGTAACGAACTTATCCAAGATTTAGAATCAGGCGCGAGTGGACGAACTCCCTTCTCCTGGCATGGAAGATGTAACCCTCCAGTGGCTACCTAACCTTCCTCCCCGCCCCTTCCTTCCACCCTAATTCTCGGAGGCTAATTAGTTTTAGAACTAATGGCCTGAGTGGATCCATCATAAATTTTGTCTGATTGATGACTAAAATCCTAGCCTTAGCTATTGATATTTTTTAAAACAATAATACACTTTGTGACTTTGGTGAATATGTTTGATCCTTGAATTGTTGTAACTGTTACAATTATCCTTGCAAGTCTTTCGTTTTCCCTGCTCATCGTCCCTGTACATTGCCCGCATGATTAAAATTAGAGACAATAGTCTTCACTGTTGACTTACAGACGTCTTAGCTTGATATTGTTCATAAATATGTCTTTTGGTAAATTCTCCAACTGGTTGATGTCCAAGTACCTGTCAACAAATGACGATAGTTAGTGTTCAGGCGCATTACTGATATAAACTTATTATCATTATCATCAATATCTTCAAGTGACAAGAAATGTTTTTGGTAAGAGCCCATGTTGCTCATAGTACAGCAAAGTATTTATATTTTCAGGTAAATCTGTCAACTCCATTATTTAGTTTCGCTTATCAAGCGCAAATGTCTTTTAAGACATCCATCCGCAAGTAACACATTCGTCAATCTATTACTTTCCACAGGAAAGATTTCAATGTCGGCATGGGAAACAACATGATATTCGAGTTTCTTAAATGGGTTTTTCCTTACCATTATAAAATGAAGGGAAAACACAAACAATAGTTTATGCAAAGAGCATTTGAAATAGCTTAGACAATTTTCGTAATTTTGCCCTTTTTGTGATTGAACTCGAAAATGTCAATCACAAGTTCCCTGTGATGTATGTAGCGAAATATTTTTCCTGAACCGAGCGATCTGATAAAATTTCCTTGTTCCAGTGTTGGTTCAGCCTTATCAAAAGCGATAGTCCATAAAAAAGAAGCCAGATCGAAAAGCTGCGGACAGACAGGCCCACTGATTTGGCTCAAATTTTGCATGCAAAATGGGTTAAGGATTTTGATCATGAAAGAGATATTTTTTAGGGTTGAAATCTATTTTTGTAAAAAAGGAAGGCTCAAGGCCATTTGGAGACCCTCATGAACATGGAAACGAGGCTGGTTAAGAGAAACTTTTCAATGCCTGGGCTTCCTTTGCTTTCTCATTTTTGTGTCTTTTTATTATTATCATTATTATTTCTATCATAAAACAAGTGTGCAATTCTTCCTCTTTGGTTTGAATATTAAATTTCGTAGGAAAAAAAAAAAAAAAAGAAAGTGTTTGAGCGCGCTATTAAATTTACTCAGTTTTAGGTGTTTTTATATTCCTGAAAAATATCGTAAGTTCAGAAGCTTGTAGTGCTGTACATATGACGAGTTAGAACAATTTGTAAGTTTCTAAAACAACAGCTGTTAGAGATTATTCGCTACAGTGAGTTCAGAGCAGGGCAACTTCAATGCACTGCCATATCTCCCAGTAGAATATGCCGATAAGGTTTCTGGAGATTTAAGTCGCAGTGGACCGGTGCATTTCGGTTGAAAAAAATTGATCTCTTTCAAACTATTCCCATGAATCAGTCTTAGTCTGAAAGTATACTAAGCAACCTTGATTTCCCGAAATAATGACAAATAAATTTTTCCCGTGGGAAAATCGGTTCTGCGCTTGAAGGCCTATTTTTGATAGTATTAACCATCATAAATGGCTCGTTTTTTCACGAAATGTTTGTTTGAAGAACTTTTTCGCTTCGCATATTTAGATCGATCATTTATAAGAACAATGGTTTTTGACACTGAAAATTATTTTTTCGCTTAACACCTATTTGCCTCTGCTGCCATGACCGTAAACGTGCAACTTTCAATCTCGCCTCTGCTTAAAAGTCCAACTTGTTCCCGATGACATTTTTATTCAGAATAACTAAAATAAGAGAGAGGAGTAAGTAAATTCAAAAATATTTTGTGATTTCGGTTTAATTTTTTTAGCAGAGCGGGCTCATTTTAGAAAATTACAAACAACACCTTACAAAGAGCGGACTTAACTATATATCTAATTTACTTATTGTTGACGCCTGTGTTGAGCACTTTGAAGCTTCTTTATGCTTGTTGATGCCATAAAACAGCATTTAGAAGAGAAAATTCTCAATCCCATCCGCCGAAAGTTGACTCTTCGTCCTAAGCGACCTATTGTTTTCTTCATCACTCAGTATTGAAATGAAAAATGCAGGAAATGACACTTTCGAGACCCTAGATTTAAAATCTTCTGTAGGGGCATGCTCCTAGATTCATTACTTTGGATGGCCTTCGGCGCTCAGTGTTATCTTCTTGTGCGTTCACCTTAAAAATCTCACGCTACACCTAAAGGATGTCAACTTCTCGAAGAAATCGGAATAAATTTACAATTAGATGAAAAATGACGTACAATAATACCCACCAGCGCTACGCTCAAAAACACAAACGTATTAACAATTCATTAGCGGAGTGACGGTGGCGCCGTAATTCGTAATTTCATTTATCGCTACATACGTGCATTGGATGAGGCCACAAAGTTAGTTGGATGTGATATATATTACTACGACCCTTATAAAGCCACTATCACACTGACAACGACGCATTTTTTAAGAAAGATGGCTTCAAATCAGACTAACCGTTTTCAGAGGCTATTTATCAGTAGAGGAGTTCATAGACGGACAGGAAAATGAAAACACCAAGAAAAAGACTAAACAATTTGTTGCTCTGTTCTATGAATTTCTTGCTTTGAAAGGGGAGATGAGGCAAATGAACCAATGACTCCTCCAGCGCTGAACAAGTTTGTCAACGAGTTCCTTATAACGGTCCGCAAAAAAGAAGACAACTAGGAATACGAGCCTAATTCCTTAACGGCATTTTTCGCTGCCTTTCAGCGCCATTCGAAGAAAAATCAACTATGGACTTTGCCTTATGAAAAACGTCCAGTTCGAGCAAACTCGGAAAGCGCTTCAGTCAAAGCAAAGGGATCTAAAACGGAAAGGCATGAGCAACAAGCCTAATGCTTCTGCTACTTTAAGTGAGGAAAATGTTCAAGTTCTGTTTGAAAAGGATCTCTTGGGAAGTTCCACGGCAGAAGCGCTTTTAAACACGGTATGGTTCAACAACACAATCCATTTTGGTATACTAGGTTGCAAGAGGCATAGAGAAATGTGTTCAAGGGGAGACGTAAAACTTTGTCAAAACTTCCACAGGGCAGGAGTACCTCGAATTCAATGAAAGAGAAACCAAAACTCGTTCAGGAAACGATCCACGGAATGTAAAAGCCATTGCACCGAAAACTTTTGCCATGCCGAACAACCAGAAATGTCCAGTAAAGGCCTACAAAGTCTACGCAGAAAGCGACCCGCGGAAATGAAAACCGACGATGCACCGTTTCACTTTGGCAGTAAATAATGTAAAATCTGGAAACAACGACTTGCTGCCAATTGATATTATGCAACTGTCAGGACACAAAAACGTTCAAAGTATCACTAGCTACTCTACTGTCTCACAGAAACAACAGTTGAACATGTCTCACACTCTCACTGGAAAGTTTGACTCGCCATTTTTTAGTCAGCAATGGAATCAGATGGCCGCTCGCATTAATACGAAATTTAGAGGAAAGGACTCTTATTCGCAGACTTGAGAACACTTGTTTTGAAAACACAAAGATGGCACGATTAGTCTATCATTTCCCACAAAAAATGATGGGTCAGTTAATTAAACAGAGTTAGCTATGGTTCAACAAAGTCGCGTTCTAAGTTATTCTAAATGTGGCTAATCTTAGCATATAAACTTTACTAATTATGTAGAGCGTAAATAAGGCATAAAACGCGGACTAGAAAATCATTTATCTGCCCAAAATAATGCATTTACTAACAGGTTAGGTGACGACAGTCAAAGGAATGAAGTTTGATAAATTGACTGTCAGTTAATAAAAAAAAGTTTATTAGATATCTAATTGTTTTGTTCACTCCTTCAGATAAAGGAAAAAAAGTGGCGTTCTCGTTGTGAGAGGGAATCGAACCCCACAAAGCCTATTAAGAGAGCGCAAGCGCTACCACTGCACCACACGCTTGCTTCTTTGCTTGATTTATCTCGTTGCTTTTAGCCCATGCTCCTACAAAATGCCTTGAATCCACAGCAGGAAATAAAAGATTGCTATTTCTTTTGTCTTTGCTCAATAAACCGGGCTTTATATCATCTGCAAGCGGAGGAGCTTGTTCCAGCTTCTGACAGTTTTTCATCAACTGTTATTTCCTCTCGTGAGACGGAGGCAAGTACAATTAAATTCGTTTTCACTCTTACTTTCATAGTTTGTAGCCCAATATGTCCTGATAATTGTGGTGCAGTTTTCTTGTGAAAATATATTTTAGTTTTCGAGAAATGACTTTTTCTCGTTCGACCGCTCAAATATGCAAATTTTCACCGTGAATATTACCCGAGTTGTGTGACCTCGTGTCATGAATTTACTTTACCTTCGGTATTTCTGTCGACATAATCCTTTGTTTTATCCTCAAAAATTAATCCTCTATCATTGCTGAAGCTGGCAAAGAAATATCAATTTTTTGGTGAATAATTTTGTCCGACATACTTTCACATGTCAAAAAGTAGCTCAAAACAAAGACAGTTTTAACAATGACCGACATGACAGAATCTACTGAGCTTCTAGCTTTTAAAAGACAAAAGGATGGTTATAAAGTTACTGTAAATATTTACTTGTACATTTGTGTTGTTCCATCTTGAGACGAACTCAAAGTCCGGCAAAATTTACATGCTAGCGACTATGAAATACACGTGCTGTGCGTACTGGTCGCCACCGTTTATTGTCATAAATTACTAAAGTAACTTTATAACCGTCCTTTTGTCTTTTAAAAGCTTGAAGCTCAGTAGATTCTGTTTTTTCTTCATAACTCGACTGCATATTACATTTACTATTATTATTTTTTTACTTTTTTGCTTTTGTTTTAAATGGCTTGTTCAGGTAATAAACTTAAATTTATTGAAAAAAAATCGCCGATGCAAAGTCATTCACAACGAGATTCAGAGAAAGTTTTTGTTACAACATTTTTTTTTTTTTTAACACGCTAAGTTCCTTTTTTTCCTTAACACGCTAGCTTATCTTTTACAACCCAGCTTAATTTGTCACTTGTGTTTGTCAAGTGTGTTACTAACAGAATATAAGCGAAAATGAAGATCTCCTGTCCTATTCGAAAGTTTTAATAAAAAAGGAAACACTCACGACAAATCACTTTCCCTCACGATTTTCAGGAGGAATTCAGTGAGCACGACGTGTTTCACAAGGTCCAGAGGAGCTCAGTTTGAACTCATGAATTACTGTTTTAAAAGTTAATCCTTACCGCGTAAAATATAAATCCTTATCGCTTCACGCAGTTAATAAGCCCTATCAATCCTAGCAACGGATTACCGGCTCCATGGCCCCTTAACGACACGGTCGCTGTTTGTCACTCCATGGAAGTCGGCAATTTTAAAATAAATAACCACTAGTTAGCCAGCGCAAAACGAAGCTCTTCGAACGAAGCCGCGTATCATTCATCATTATATACATACTGAGATTTACGCGACAAAATTCATCGAGACAAAAATAGTTTCTTCGCGCTAGAGACGCCAGCTGATTGGTCATACGATTATCATTATTTTCACTAATGAAAAAAACCGTGTCGCTTGCTCGCCGCTCCTCTTGACCGACAAACAGCACATTTCTAAGAGCTTAGGCGCATTTTTTTTTTTTAAGAAAGATGGCTTCAAATCAGACTAATCGTTTTCAGAGCCTAGATTTATCAGAAGAAGAGTTCATAGACGGACAGAAAATGAGAACACTAAGAAAAAGGCTAAACAATATGTTGCACTGTTCCATGAATTTCTTGCTTTGAAAGGCAAGACGAGGCAAATGAACGAATGACCCCTCAGGCGCTGAACAAGTTTAGTTCCTTCTAACGGTTCGCAAAAAAGAAGACAACTAGGAATACGAGCGTTATTCCTTAAGGGCATTTTTTAGCTCCATTTGAAGACAAAAAAAATGTATGGACTTTGCCTTATGAAAGACGAAAAACACCAAAACAAAAAACACGATGTTGCTCTCTTCCATGAATTTCTTGTTTTGACAGGCGAGACGAGACGAATGAACGAATGACTCCTCAAGCGCTGAAGAAGTTTCTCAGGAGTTCCTTATAACGGTTCACAAAAAAGGACACAACGAGGAATACGAGTCTAATTCCCTAAGGAATTTCTTTGCCAGTTTTCAGCGCCATTCGAAAAAATATACTATGGACTTTGTCTTATGAAAAACGTCCAGTTCGAGCAAACTCGGAAAGCGCTTCAGTCAAAGCAAAGGGATCTAAAACGGAAAGGAATAGGCAACAAGCCTAATGCTTCTGCTGCTTTAAGTGAGGAAGATATTCAAGTTCTGTTTGAAAAGGATCTCTTAGGAAGTTTCACGGCAGAAGCACTTTTAAACACAGTATGGTTCGACAACATAATCTATTTCGGGTTACTAGGCCGCAAGGAGCACAGAGAAATGTGTTGGGGAGACGTTAAACTTTGTGAAAACTTCCACAGGGCAGGAGTACCTCGAAATCAATGAAAGACAAACCAAAACTCGTTCAAGAAACGATCCACGGAATGTAATAGCCATTGCACCGAAAATGTTTGCTGTGCCGAACAACCAGAAGTGTCCAGTAAAAGCCTACAAAGCCTACGCAGAAAAGCGAGCCGCGGAAATGGGAACCAACGATGCACCGTTTACTTTGACATTACTCAATGTAAAATCTGGCAACAACGACGTACCGCCAACTGATATTATGCAACTGTCAGGTCACAAAAACGTTCAAAGTGTCACTCGGTACTCTAACGTCTCACAGAAACAACAATTGAATATGAGTCACACTCTCACTGGAACGAGTTCGAGAGAAATAGCTCCCCAGTCTGGCTCTTCTATTCCGGAGAAAAGAAAGCACGAGTTTGACGAACTCAATTATCCAACATTTCGTCCAACTTTTTCTCACTGGCAAGCAGCACAGCAGCTCCTTTCCCTTTTTTTGGGGTGCTGTTATAAGCGGAGGACATATAGGTGTGGCAATAAACACTTTAAATCAATCGCCCACACTTTCAGTGTGAGAGGAAAACCCTAGCAAAACTTATAAAAGAATCAAACCTCTTGATTCGGAGTCTTACTGTTGTTTGTCAATTCAAGCATGCGGGTTCTGATAAGCAACAAAAAATGAAGTCTCGGGTTTTTCGACATATTTTCAGAATGTCTTATTTTATTCTAACTAGCTCTGCCTTTTAACGGCATTTTTGCTCGATAATTTAAATGTAAAGTATTTTACAAGGAAGCCAATTCAGTGCAACTCTCGAACTGTGAGGCGGCTTGACCGCGCGTTGTTTTCCTTTGAAAGAAAATAAAGACATGTTTATCTTTGAGTTCTGCTCGCTTATGAATCCAGCTACGTATATAATAAATAAGTTATTTCACGGTTAGTTCACTTGCGCGAATTTTATTCACTCCTTGTGAATAAAAATCGTACGCGCTCACCAACCGTGAAACAACCCACATTTGCAATCCGATCTTGGCATCTTACGAGCTCGTCGTCTTTAGCACTGTGGTATATACCTTGCGCAACGAAAATTTAACGCAAGGATAATTAAAATTAACATGGTCGAAGGTACTAACGAGTCTTTTTTAGCTCGCAAACTCAGCCAACTTAAATTTTCAAACTCCTCTGGACCCTGTGCGTGTATTCACTTGCTTTTGGTTTCCATAGTTAGGTCATTTACACTACAACACGGTTTACACGCGCAAAGGAAGAAGCAAACGCTTCGTAGTCGTTCATTATCAATTTTGAAAATGCATTTACAAATTCTTAAAGTTCTCATACTTTCTAACCGGTGGAAAAGATTTAAAATCCCTGGCGGAAGATTATTTTTGGCGCCAGACAAGTAGAAGAGGAAGACGATCAACTGGACAACTACGATTCTGACAGCAACGATGAAACTAATCAGGAAATTGACTCCGGTGATCACTTTGACTTTTCAAATTGTGATACATCTGAGCGATCGAAAGTACAGGCATTAGCAGCCAAAACATGTGGATGTGCACTTGGAGATAACGGAAATCATGCAGCTCTACTACCAAAATTGAAGTCATCTTCGATTGCCGAAACAACCTTGCAGTACTTTCCTCGACTGAACTCAATCTGTTAATTTTGGCAATAATCCACTGTGCCATAAACTGTGACCAGGTCAGCGACTCAGGAAGAGCAGAGAAAATGAGGCAGCGAAGTAGGTTGCCTTTCCATTTTCACAGCCACCAATTCTGCCCGAAAACTTTTCTTTTCATGCATTGTCTCCACAAGACCGGATTCTACAGTCGCGCTTAACATTATCGGATTAGCGGACTATACATACATACATATACTTTATGTATGCTCAAAATTCACAGTGTAGCCGTAGAGCTAATATCTTCGAGAAAATAAGCTAAAGTAAAATTTAAAAAATATGCTATATTACAATTCCAATATTATTTATAAACTATTTACAACGACTATCGCTTCGTACTCACAGCAACAAGTCTTGATGTCTACCTAGCTCTGCTTTCAGTGCTGAAACTATTCAACGGGTGGTAAAGTTCTTCATGAATGTCGCCGAAAACCAATTTTTTTTTAATTCCAGGACGTGTTCCTGGCTTCAAAAGAGCTGACATGAAACTGCTGCCAACCTCCATGACAAAATCTCGTCTTTGGAAAAGCTACCAAGGTGCGTAGAGACTAGCAAGGCGAGCGTTCAGTGCCACATTAGTACTCCACCGTCTACGGCTAATGCATCATTACAAAAAAAACCACTACGACGTGACTACCGAGCTCCGAAAGCAGATATTGAACCTAACAGTAGTAGTAAGCCGATTTAAAAGATTTCCACCGGTTGGACAATGGAAAATTAGGCTTTTATTGTGTCCGTTTTACAAAGAAAGTTTGACTGGCCATTTTTTAGTGAGCAATGGAATCAGATAACTGCTCGTATTAATACGAAATGTAGAGGAAAGAGGGGGACTCTTTTTCACAGACTTAAGAAAACTAGCTTGTTTGAAAACACAAAGATGGCACAATTAGTCTATCATTTCACACAAAAAATAATGGGACGGTGAATTGAACAGAGTTATCCATTGTTCAACAAAACTGCCTTCTACGTTATTTTAAATGTGGCTAATCTTCCCTCTTTGGGCACTATTGCGCAAAGGGATTAACTGCCTCACGCCACGCGACACACCTTTGTCTATTCTTTATTGTTTACAGTATTAGGTTTCAGTTTTGTTACAGCTCTCGTAGCGTGAACAGTGTTTTGTCAAGTGGCATTGTTTTCCGTACGTTTATTGATTTCAATGGGTCGAGCCAAGCGTTGTCCAGGTTGTAAAATTCCCCAAGCCGAGCACAAGTTCGGGAAATTTGATAAACAGTGTCCCGGGCTGGTGCCAGATGATGAAGAAGAGTTAGCAGATGAAGACTACACCGCCCCCCAAGCACAGGACTCTTCTCTGAACGATCCAACCATTCAAGCTACTTTGAATTCTTTGCTCGGTGCGGTCCAGTCGTTAACTACTGGTTTAGCAGAGGTTCAAGCAGATAATAAGAAGCTACGAGCCTTGGTGGAGAAGAAAAAGGCGACGGATGGTCGCAATGCGTCCACGCCCCCGCTTTCTGATGGCCATGTTGTTGCTCCAGCATCACAACCTGTTTCTGCCGTTACTTTGCCCGAATTACGGGCTATGGCCCGCCCCTCCCGAAAAGCTGATCAACAAGTCGCCCAGCTTGGGTTAGCTGACTCCAGTGCGTCGACTAGTGATTCTGATGGTGACGACAGCGATCTGCAAAGTCCTCTTAGTATAGAGGCCAAGATAGCACACGCGCACGGCGGTAAGTCTCTCAAGTCTGGGAAAGAAGCTAAGATAACAAGCACCGTCTTGTATCCGCAGTCATGGCCACATTGTTATCTCAGTATTACTCACGGTCGCCGCGACGTCAAATACGAGGAGCTTAAACTCAAAGAATTCGTTGCCGGTTATGGCCAGATCCTCTTGTCCCCAGATTTATCTGAGGTGGAACGTTCTTCCCGTCTTAAACATCTGGTTTCGCTAATGTATTTTTCCCAGCTTTACGAATGGCAGGCTGTATTGAGTTTTCACGGCGCAGTTCTGTTAGAGATCGAACGTGGATTGCTCCAATAGGGAGATTCTTTTCTACCTTTAGAAAGCCGTACTTTGTATGGTCATCTCAAGGCAACCAAGCCGTCCGCGAGCGCTTCTTCTTCCGCGAACGTTCCGATTCTGTTTTGTCGAGATTACCAAAGACAGACGTGCACGTTTGAACAAGATCACTACGGTTTGCTCCGCGGCGAGAGGAAATGGCTCCGTCACATTTGTGCCAACTGTTGGGTCAAAGGACGTACACAAGCTTTGCACCCGGAGGGATCGAAGGAGTGCCCTCTTTCCACTAACTCCGGGGCAAAAAAACTAGGTTCATCGAGCACCTTCGTTCATCCTACAAATTTTCCTGATGAAGGTGCTCTCTACAGTGATTATTTCGTCTCTGAGGTTTTTGAACATGACCTTTTAGGTACGAGACTAGAACAATTTCGTCCTCTCCCTCACTTTACGCGGTATTGCTCGTCGAGCTTTCCACACACCGCGTCGTGCACCACCGGTTTCTCCCTCTCTTTTGCTTCGGCTTTCATCGTTTCTTTTGTTGAACGGTCATCCACGCTCGGCTACTTTATTATGCGCTTTTTTGTTTGTCTTTTTCCTTATGGCTCGTCTAGCTAATATCGTGCCGCCAGCAGAAATAGGGTTAATAGATAACTTCTCATTTGTTTTTTCTCGCGCAAGTAACAAAAATGTTCCCTTCCCTGTCCCCATCCAATCGCACTTCAACCAGTCAGGGGAGGTGAGTATAGAATTGTTAGCAAATCATCAGAAGGCTTGGTTACCTGATTGAGCCCGGTGTCTAAGCTCCTTCAGAAAGTGATCCCAAAAAAAATTTCTGCGTGCCGCCATCACTCAGGCAATTTGATCCCCGCCGTCACCTGACGGGGTGATGTGGTTTTTACCGCCCATGGGCTTTTTGTTACATTTCGGTGCACAAAAACAATTCAGTTTGGTGAACGATTGCTTCATATTCCTTTACTTAGTATTTCTGGCAGTCCATTATGTCCTGTCAGCAATCTCTCACATCGGTATTCCACATGCCGACCGTTACCGCGGTCACTCCTTTCGACGTGGGGCGGCCTCTTGGACTTTTAGTTGCGGCGTACCCGGCGAGTTAATACAATTGTATGGCGATTGGTCCAGTGACTCTTATAAGCTATATTTAGAGTTTAGCCTTAAATCCAAGCTCGCTCTCGTGACTCAATTACGTTCTGCCATTGTTTCTTTGCCGCTGTAATTTCTTGCACTCGTTCTAGTTATCGTTCTTTCAGTTTGTTTTTGGCCGATTTTGGTGGCAGAGAGGTTTATTTCGCTTCCTTGTTTGTTACTGTTCGGTCCTATTTTATTATTCTAGGATCTAGCTGAATAAACTTCTCTCTTGGCCAAAAACAGATTGTGTTGTTGTTGTGTTGTTGGCGGGGGGAATTTTCCCTCTTTGGGCACTATTGCGCAAAGGGATTAATTGCCTCACGCCACGCGACACACCTTTGTCCATTCTTTATTGTTTACAGTATTAGGTTTCAGTTTTGTTACAGCTCTCGTAGCGTGAACAGTGTTTTGTCAAGTGGCGTTGTTTTTCCCACCCACCCACCCATTTCTTGTTAGTGTGTTTAGGTGAGGTGGCAGAGAGGTTTATTTCGCTTCCTTGTTTGTTACTGTTCGGTCCTATTTCATTATTCTAGGATCTAGCTGAATAAACTTCTCTCTTGGCCAAAAACAGATTGTGTTGTTGTTGTGTTGTTGGCGGGGGGGAATTTTAGCACATAAACTTTACCAATTATGGGGAGCCTAAAGAAGGCATAAAACGCAGACTAGAAAATCATCCATCTTCCCAGAATAATGCATTAACAAACAGGTTAGGTGACGACAGTCAAAGGAATAAAGTTTGGCAAATAGACTGCCAGTTAATGAAAAAAAAATTATATTAGATATTTAATGATTTCGTTCACTCTTTCTGTTTTTACAGTAACCTTATGACCATGCTTTTGTCTTTTAAATCTGGAAGCTCAGTAGATTCTGTCATATCGGTCATTGTTAAAACTGTCTTTGTTTTGACGCTACTTTTCGACATGGGAAAAGTTTGTCGGACAAAAGTAGTCACCAAAACCTAAATATTTCTTTGTCAGCTTCAGTAATGACAGGGGATTAAGTAAGGATGATAAAACAAAGGATTACGTTGACAGTAAATTCGTTACATGAAGTCACACAACTCGGGTAATATTCACGGTGGAAATTGGCATATTTGAGCGGTCAAACTAAAAAAATTATTTCTCGAAAACTGAAATACATCTTCACAAAAAACCTGCACCACAATTATTAGGACATATTGTGCTACCAAACATGAAAGTAGGAGTGAAAGCAAATTTTGGGTGACTTGCCGCTGTTTGTCTGATGCACGTTGTCATTAGCTCTTAATTTTCTTTAAAGTGAGCTGCCAAGTTCAAGCACCGAAACATTTGTAAACCAGATGCGTTTCGAGGCTGTCGATAGACTACTTGCGGCAAAAAAAAAGAAAAGGCCAACATCGTTTTTTTTCCTTCATTGTTCTAGCAACGTTCGGACCAAATCTCGTGGATTCCGTCGATTCCTTATTAAATATTATTTAAACGGCAGAGAGCTTTCTCTGTGTTTATATACTCTCATCTAAACACGAAGGGAAGCTGGGAGAATTCAAGAGAGTTATGCAAACGTTAGACACAATTAAAGGTTTGCATAGCTTTAGAAAGTAACTAAAAAAAAATTCTTGCCGATTCAAGTTCGTGTTTATTTTCTGTAACGAACTTATCCAAGCTTTAGAATCAAGCGCGAGTGGACGAACTCCCTTCTCCTAGCATGGAAGATGTAACCCTCCAGTGGCTACCCAACCTTCCTCCCCGTCCCTTCCTCCCACCCTAATCCTCGGAGGCTAGTTAGTCTGAGAACTAACAGACTTAGTGGATAGATCATAAAGTTTGTCTGATTGATAACTAAAAAAGCCTAGCCTTAGCTAGTTATATTTTTTAAAACAATAATACACTTTGTGACTTTGGTGAATATGCCTGATCATTGCATTGTTGTAACTGTGACAATTTTCCCTGTAAGTATTTCGTTGTCGCTGTTCATCGTCCCTGTACATTGCCTGCATGATTAAAATTAGAAAGAACAGTCTTCACTTTTGACTCACAGATATCTTAAGTTGATATTGTTCATAAATATGTCATATCAAACTCATGGGGCACAAATAGTCTTAAAATGAATGTAGTGACCACGCCCACTTCAACACCCCACTCAAATCGAGTGTAATTTTCGAATGTTTTACCATTGTGCGGATTCTCTACGGAAAAAGCACTCAATGTACCTCTGAAATATTAAACTATAATATTGTGGCTTTCTATTTCGCTAATTTTCTAACTTGAAGGTAAAGTTTTTCCCTCGTCATTTTTACCTTTTCTCCGAGCGGTTGCGTGAAATTAACAAGGCGTTTTTGATCAAAACACGACCGAGCGAAGGGTCTTGGGCGATATCTCTTTTACGCAGGCGCAAATTAAAAATGTACCGCCAGAATCAAAAAGAGAAACAAATTTCCTTTGTTTTGATATGTAAAGTGTCGAACAAAAAGCAGATTTACCCTCGTCAAATGGCGTTTCAAAACAGCTGTATCTTCCTCCTTTTGATTTTTTCCTGTTTTGTAAGCGTGAAAGCAGTAGGAGAGGGATCGGGAAACTCAGAAAGCGCTTCGGGAATTAGTCTGCCATCGTTTACTTACAAGATAAACAAGTAAGATTTGTGAAGTTCGTTGAAGTACGAAGTCTAAATAAATGCCTTTTTAAGCTTGTTTGCTGGATTTTTCGTAAACATCCCTGATTAGTTTTTCGTTTCAGCTTACTAATCTATACTACTTCAAAGCAATGTAATTTCAACAATCGTAAACAAAGTGTTTGAGCAATCAGGTATACGAGGTGTAATAATCAATAGCCGCACATTAGAAGTCTTCAGAAAGAAAGTATTCTGTCTTCAGAAGGCTGTCAAGAAAGCTAGTGATCGTGGCGGAAGGCAATTAAATGCGCTTCTTAGCAAGTTGGAAACGGGCTTTCGGTATCGATTTAATATCATATCGATCTCAGTATCATACAGTTTTGTATCTTTCCTCCGCGGATTCGCCTTTCTAACGAGGGTTTATGTTGAGTATTCATTGCAAAATCGCTTTGTTTTTTTCTTTCTTTGGCTTGTCCGCAATTTTGAAAATTCGTAACGGAGAGCATGCGCATTACGTGGGGTTAGTGGTTGCGTACACCTGGAACCGAGAAAAACAAATGTTCGTCGCACTGGGGAAAGAGTTTGATATGTTTTGGCAAATTCTCCAACTGGTTTCTGTCCAATTCCCTGTCAACAAATGACGATAGTTAGTGTTCAGGCCCATTACTGATATAAACCTATCATCATTATCATCAACATTTATTTCATAGTCCAAGTGTTAATACGGCTGTAGCAATGCGGGCACTGCAGATGGGTATTACGACTGAAAATGCCTGATGGTAAATTCTTCAGCTGGTTGTTGTTCAACAGCCTATCAAAAATAAGTTAATGTATTTTCAATTACATGGTATACGACAACAAAGTTCAAGGAATAAGAGTTCTCGAAAAAGAGTTGTTACCTTTCTTCTCCAAAAAAAATAAAGACAAACAAAACAAAAAAACCAAAGCAAGTAAAAGCTTTGGCATTCCTCTGTGCAAACAAGCAAACAAAAACAAACGAACAGAGAAAGGTGTGGGTACCGATTTGTTTCCGGTTCACGTGACATTTTCCAATTATGATCTACTCACGAGAGCGTCCAATTAGTTTATTTAATCTATAAGTATTCTATTTTCAACATAGATACCTTTTTTTCTTGTAGGAAAGGAAAGACTCAAGTAATTTTTACGCTCATAATGTGTCACTTTATAATTTAAGCGTCATTTTTTTGCTTGATTTATCTCGTTGCTTTTAGTAAATTTAGTTTATAATCGCATCTGACAGCAAATGTCCTTATTTATCGCGAGGAAAC